AACTTTGTTTGTTTTGTTTGTATCCATCATTTCAATTTACACATATTTTTCAATCAAATAAAATATCTGTGCTGATATTTATGTTGAAATTGAAACAGTTAACCGGCACTTAACGAAAGATTTTCCGTAGATAACACAGTGAGGTGTATTATCTCCTAAATACTTAGAAATCTTGAGTTTAATTAAATTATAAGTTAGATTGCCTAAAGTATTACCTAACTAATATTAATTATGATTAGACAACTATTTTCTTTTTTGTACATATATGCAAAATGTTATAAGTTCTTTTAAAATATAAACACAGGTTCATTTGTAGATTGTAGATTTCAAAGCAATCGTTTGTTACATGTTAAAGAGAAAGACAGAAGCAGGAAGAAGAGAAGAATGCAAAAGTCGATACAGGCAGCTCTTATTCCTAGTTCAGAGAAACACCTTCGTTGATAGAGACAAGATCAGAATATATACCTTAACAATATGTTATCTCTATAAAGAGATAATCAATAAAATCAATGAACCGCTCGGCACAATCCAAAAGAACAAAAAGAATACTCCATTATGGTGGACAACTGACATCGCCAATGCAGTACACAACAAGAAACAAGCATATCAAAATTGGCTGGCAACAAATGATCTAGATAACAGACGAACATATGCAAGATCAAACAGAGAAGTAAAAAATTTACACAAAGCAAAAAATATTTCCTGGGAAAGTAAATGCGAACAACTCAACAAATATATAGGGTCAACAAGAGAAAGAGAAGCATGTAAAACGGTAAAAAATCTGAGAACAAACAGAAAAGAAACGAGTAGAATATATTTAATAGAAGAAAGATCTTGGATCGAACACTACTCACAACTTTTGACTGAAACAAGACCTCAATTCACGAACATCAGTACAAAACCATATGAACTGGAATTCAGTGAAGACGATGAAATAACAGTACAGGAAGTCGAGTATGCAATACGAACTCTAAAAAATCGAAACTCATGCGGACCACAAGGTATACCAAATGAATTATTAAAACATAGCCCACAAGTATTACGGAAATTACTGGCGTATGTCTTCATCTTATTCTATAATGGACACGACTTACCACCGGAGTGGACAAAAGCACATATTAACAACATCTACAAAAAAGGAGATAGAAAGAATTGTTCAGACTACAGGAGGCTAAGTGTAAAATTGAAAAAGAGATAACAGATGTAGAAGAACAGAATGGCTTTATGCAGGCAGATCCTGTATGGACATTATATTCTCTCTAAAGCAAGTTATCGAGAAAAGATTAGCCCACAACCTTTCAACTCATATAGTCTTTATAGATCTGACAAAGGTATACGATAGTGTACCACTTTCAATGCTTTGGGTAGCAATGGAAAAACAAGAAAAACGCAAAAAAATATACAAGCAGTACAACAGAAAATACAACATTTCAACAATACAACCATTCTTCAAAAATATGACGGCAAAGATTAAAACTGGAAATAGATTAACTAGAGAAATTCCTATTAGTAAGTGCCTAAAGCAAGGCTGCTGCATAGCATCTACACTCTTCAAAATATATCTAAATGAGGCACTCTCACTGTGGAGAAGAAAGTGCTGCAATATGGGCATCCCAGTCGGAGATAATAGGTTGTACACGATGAACTTCACTGACGACCAAGCCATTCTAGCTGAAGACGAGAGTGATGTAGGCTACGTGCTTAGAAAACTGGAAGATGAGTACACCAAATGGGGCCTCACAATCACAAACTGAGTACTTAGTTGTAGGAGAAAAACTAGAAAGTCTACAAATCGAAATGGGAACTATAAAACCAACAGACAATTTTAAATACTTGGGACTCCAAATAACATCAAAAGCAGGAAGTAGCGAAGAAATACATTCTAGGATTGGCCAAGCAAGGACTACTATCGAATAAAAAAATAAAAGAAGAATTTATAAAACAATAATAGAAAGTATTGGGCTGTACTTAGTAGACTTGATAGGGTGAGAAACGAAGATATTTGGAGAGAAATGGAAATTAATCTAGATAATAGACACAATCGAAGCCAAAAGACTTAACTGGTATGGACACCTTCAGAGAATGTCTGAAAATAGATGGCCAAAAAAATAGAAGAATGGACTCCGCCAACTAGAAGAAAACGAGGTAGACCAAGACGATCCTGGAGAGACGATGTCGACGATGCAATAACCGCCAGAGACCTAACAACTGAAGATTGCTTCGACAGAAAACGCTGGAAATTAGGATGCGAGAAGCGGCGCCAGCTGTAGAAGAATCGCTTGTTACATATATATATATATATATATATATATATATATATATATATATATATATATATATAATATTTGAGCAGATATACAGTGGAATGTCAACTTGTTACAATCAAAACAGCTGTTTCTCAAAAAATTTAAATATCACACGCTTTTTGAAATCAAAAACTGTACAGTATATTTAAAGATAACAATTCATTGGTAACATATATAGATAAAGTAGTACAGCTATGGTGTAACTATTGTGAACAATAAATTATACTTGAGAAATACTTGCTATGAAATATACAACGATGAAAATCGCTACGAAAAATAATCTGGTATTACATTCCAAGAAACTAAAGCTGATATAGGTCTCCTGGTGTATGAGACATCAGGGTAGTAAAAAATATGAGAAAGGCTAATTAAAAAGTCATACACTGCTTATGCCAACTCATGGAAAACACTGAAATGTCCTATACACTAAACAACTTCTGTATTTGTTCCTTTTCATAAAAAAGCTTCCGCTACAGAATGTAGATAGACTTAGAGAGGTGGTATTTTGGTCTATTCCACTGCGACCTTTTCAGATCTATTGTGGTCCTCTATTAATAAATAACGCAGATAATTTCTTCCACGCAGTGATGAATTGCCGTTATTTCCGCCTGGAAAACTGTCACATCCTTAGATAGGCTTACTGGGAAATGTATCCCTTGATTTGTTCCTACTATGCTGGTTTCCATACTCTCCGATGTTTTTGAGCTATCCTTGTACCAGGTAACAGCAATTTGTATGGGTACACCTTTATTCCAGTCTTCCCTGCCTGGTATCTTAATTGTGAACTTATTGTTAAAGCTATATCTCGTACCAAGCTATAATTTCAGCCAGATTAATAAATAACTTACATAAATACAATATATTAGCCCCTTGGAACCTTCAGTACTTATTATCACTAGACTCGAGAGCAGTGTATGATTCCGTAGTTATGTTTTTAAAGGATAGTAAAATAACCATGTAAATAATTATGCATTAGCATTAGTTAATAACGTAGCCTTTGTTTCTAACCCAATTGTCAAATTCCCCTCTTACCGTGGCCTCGTGTTGTATGTCTTAAAAAAATGCCTTGATGGGCCCCTAGGCGAGAAGAGAGTGACCCTGTTTACCTGTTCTTTGTTTTGTATATTTATTAATATAAACTCAGACAACTATTTTTTTACCCTGTTGAGTCTGGCTGAATGACTAAAAGTCTATGCCAAAAAAAAATATATCTCGTAACTGTTGCATAGATAGGTTTACCCATTACAATATCATCTTTTAGCTCCTCGATTAGCTTTCTGTTGTCAGTACTATGCATCTGACTTATATTTCACTGACTATGGATTAATCTGTGCATCATTGATCTGGCTTCGCCCTTTATAAAGATATGAAGTGGTGGTAGATTCAACAGGACTTCCAACGATGCAGTAGAAGTGGTTTTTATGGCCCCCGTAATACACAGGCATGCTAGCCTTTGTGTATTACCTAGCAGCCTTATTGCTCCCACTTACTGCATCTTTGTCCACAGCGTTACCGAGCCATAGGTTATCATGGGTCTAATAGCTCTTGTGTATAACCATAGAGTCATTTTGGGATTAAGTCCCCAATTCTTACCGTACATTCTTCTACATCTTCTCAGGGACATAGTAGCTTTCTGCTTGGTTTTCAGAATGTGAGTATTCCATGTAAGCCTATGATAAAAATATACCCCAAGATATTTTGTTTCTTTGAAAATGAAATCTCTGTTCTTCCCAGCACCGGTGGTTTTTTTGGTGAAGTTGACGATTTGTGTTTTCTGAGCATTGACTATCAGTCTCTTAAGATTACACCAGTCTTCAACTATATTTAGGGCTGCTTGCATTCTCTCAGACACCACCTGAGCAAACCTGCCACTGACAACGATTGATATATGGTCAGCATATCCTAGACAATAAAAGCCTTCTGAGGACAGATTTCTGGGGAGATCATCTACCAAGGTTGCCTAAAGTAAAGGGGTCAGAACTCCTCCTTGTGGACAACCTCCAGCTACTTTTGCTTTGATGGTTGCTTTGCCCAGAGTGAACATTACTGTCCTATTCTCCAGGGATGCATCTGCATATTACCACAGGTGCGCCTCGTCTACTCATAGCTCCTATCGAAGAGCTGGTGCTAACATTATTAAATGCCCTTCTACAGACTACAAAATATAATAAATATTAACTTATTTGGAACGGACAAAAGATTGACACGGTAAATTGACAACAAAACAAACTAGAGAAAGTTTAGGCTCAAGTTTTGTGCTATTTTGTCACTGTTGATGATGATGTTGTATTCTCAATTATAATAACTAAAAATGAAATTATTGCTGAACATAGGCATCTTCTTCGTATTTCCAACCCCGTCTTTATTACTATGTGTGTCCTGCCTATATGAGTTATTCCTAACACGGTTCGCTCCATTCTTCTCTGTATGATTCCCAGTTTTCTTTTCTCTTCTCTTCTCTTCGGGCATGTGGTCATCTCACTTTTAAAAGTGTCTCTCAGTTTTTTATATGCTACTCACCCAAGACCGATTCTACACTTTGGTTCATGAGTTTCATTATACCTACCAATCATAATTTTATGTCCTAGATGTTTATATTTATGATACGATATACTATAATACTACCCTAAAATAATTCAACTATTATGTATATTTGAACAATGCTGAAAGATTTAAATATTTTTTTTATTCTAGAATAACACCATTTTGAAACAGAATGTTTCCACAACAGAGACACCCATCAAATCAAGACTTTTGTATGATTACCAAACAGTAAGTTAATTTTTTTAATAAAGTAAGTGTATAAAATAAGTAACGTAATTAAAAGTCAAATAGCAAGATATTTATGACGTATAAAGGCGTTAAAAACTCAAAAATGATAAAAATGATGCTTGGATAAAAAAGATATATTAAATTCCATAAAATATTTCCTATGCCGGCTATGCCACGCCTATGTCATTTTTATATCCTATCATATCTATAATATATTTCACGAATTTGCGACAATTTGGGATTAGTTATAAAAGTTTTGACTTAAACGGTTTACTGTGTTGAAAAAGTTAATAATTTATTTCTGATAAATTGTAGTAATAAGTATTTACTGATAAAATAATAACAGTACCAATAATTTTTCTTAATGAGAAAACGAAAACATTACGGTACAGTATCAAGAATTAGATCCACACTCACAATCACTGTCATGCCGGTATCTTCAATTGCATGCTAAATGGTGACTGTGTTAATTGTACAGTTTTCAAGTGCTTGTGTAAATAACTTTTCGAAGTAAATATTAAATAGTAATGAAGAAAATACACAGCCTTGTCTCACACCTCTACTTATCTGTTACGCATCCGTGCTATTTCCATCTAATGTTACCACAGCCTGCTTGTTCCAATAGAGATTTCTAACTGCGTTAATGTCATTTTAGTAGAGTTCTTTTCGCTTTAGACATTTCCATGAGAACGTTATTTTTAACTGTGTCAAAAGCATTCTCATAGTCTAAAAATGTGATGAAACGATCTTTTGTTGATCTGGACATTTTTGAGCAAGAGTTGTGTGACGATAATATATTTTATCGTCTAGAGTACGCCTATGTGTTAAACAAAACACGTTTTTGTTCCGTCTCAAATAGTATAAAAGTCGAAACTGAAAGAGAGCTAACCATTCTCGACGCGTTGAGTTGAGAATATCCAACCTTGAGGACAGGTGAGTTGAACGTGTCCCAAATCCTTTCCGAACCCAGTTGATCTGGCGCGATGAGCGAGATTGACAATCCTTCCTCTGACCGCGTCAATCTGGTGCGTTGAATGAGATTGGCGTATTCTTTCCATCTAGTGTGTTGAACTAGATAGCCATCTTTATCCCCGTCCGAGCACTCGTTCTGCGTTGAGGAACGAGTAAGACCTCAATTCCTCGATCGCCATATCTTAGTTTATCATATCGAATATCGTCACACCCATCTACCGAAATAAATAAACAGTACGTTCTTGTATTTAAGCATTATATTCAGTAAACACTCAACGTTAATTACTTTTTTTCCATTTGTATATGTTAGTACGAAATAAATGTCTATACGAACGAATCCTGTTTCTCTGGCTGAAATACACTACCCGACGTCGCAGTTGTGAAACTTGACAAAGCTATACTGTCTATTTCTCATATCTGCTTCGCACTTTCTGAATATTCTTGTATATGTAACCTTTTTTGTAGAATAGAATTACCTCAGCATTGTGCCATTTGTCGGGTATATTACTGTCCAAAAGGCACATGTTAAAAAGGTTTTTTATTTTCTTAAGTAGGCAAGTGCCTCTGATTTTGATTGATTGCATCAGTAACTACACAATTTTCGCCTGGAGATTTGTTATTCTTAGCTTTTCTTAGGACTAGTTTTATTTCGTCCATTGTGATTTCCGGTAGTAGTTCTGATCCTTGGTTGACAATGCCCTTTTCTTTGTTAATATTTCTCGTACTTGATCTTCTCTGCTATTTGCTTTGTGTTGGCTTGTGTACAGCAATTTGTAGAAGTTTTCAACTATTTTAAGGGTATCCTCTCTGTGGGTTGTAAGATGGCTATTTCTATCTTTAATGTTTATTATCTGTCTTGTTCCCGTTCTTAGTCTTTTTCTAAATACTTTCATACTTCTATTATTCTTAATGGTATATTCAATTTGTTCTTGGTTGTATTTTCGAGTGTCTTGACTAACAGCTTTGAATATTTCTTTACTTAATTATTGTACTTCGTCGGCTTTAGTTTCTGTCTTGCTTCTCATTTCTTTTCTTTTCTGCATTAGTTGCCTGGTATTTTGGCTAATCTTCTCGTCTTGAGTTCTAGGATAGAATTTGTTTTGACTTTTTAGTAAAGCATTTGTTAATTTGTTATTTAAGTCGTTTGTATTATTTTTTGTTTCAGGACAGTCTATGTCGGAAGTATGTCGGAAATACATTGCTGAAAACTATCTTACATCTGATGGTTTCATCCATGGTTTTGATTTGTTCTTCTTTTTAATCATCTTATACATCTCCTTTTTTAAGCTTATTTCTATTTTACCTCGTACCATTCTATGATCGCTACTGGTAAAAAATCTGTTTAGATCCGTAATGCCTTTAACAGTGTGTTTTTTGTCCGTGATAATAAAATCTATTTCGTTTTGAGTTTTTCCATTAGGACTCTGACATGTCCATCTTCTCTGTGGTTTCTTTGAAAAAACAACTCTTCATTTAGAATAGTTCATGTTGCAGCATGAACCTTAACAGTATTTCGCCACGTTCATTTCTACCATCCAAGCCAAAGTTTCTCAGTGGTGTTTCTGTAGGGTTGGATTTCATTCCTGTTTTGGCGTTAAAATCACCGCATATAGAAGTAAAATGTACTTGATGGTCTCTAGGAGCAGCTTCGATATCATCCTGATAGAATAGATCCACTTATTCTTCATCATGGTCTGTTGTTGGTGCATAAACCTGTATTATTTTCATATTATACCTCGTATTCAATTTAAGAGTCTTTACTCTTGTGATTTGTCTTACTCTTTGATCAGAAGTACTACTATGACAAACTTATTAGAGTACTATTAATTATTTGCAATCGGTTTGAGAGTCTCGCTAAAATAAGGTATCCATCTCTCCGCATGGTCAAAAACCCAAAGCATATTAGAAATTCAACCAATGTTCATCTCTTATGTTAATCTCTCAGACCCCACTGATTAGAACCACAATAAATTCTAGGTAATAACTAATCTGGTTGTAAAAAATATTTTGCAGGTAAATATAAAATAAAAATATGTTTAAAAAATCTAAATCTTTCCATTATCGTTCACATAGAACTATCTATCTTCTTCTTTGGGTGCCGTCTTCAATGAAGGTTGGCGATAACCTCAGCAAAATCATTTCTGTCCCTGGCTTTTCCTATTAAAGATTGAGAATCCAAACCAGTCCACTCACGAATGTTCTTCAACCAGGACGCCTGCCGTCTACCAGGACCATGTTTTCCTTCTACCTTCCCCTCTATAAGAAGCTGCAGTAGCTGGTATTTCTCATTTCTGTATATGTGTCCCAAATATGAGGTTTTCCGTGTTTTCATTATGTTTAAGAGTTCTCTGTCGGTACCCATCTTGTGTAGGACCTGCTCGTTGCTCATATGCGCTGTCCAGGGGACTTTCAGCATCCTTCGAAATAACCACATTTCAAAACTTTCTAAACGCCTGAGTGAGTTGATTTTGAAGGTCCAGGCCTCCATTCCATATAGTAAGGTGCTGTAAACGTAACATTTCAGCATTCGGTATCGGATTTTGAGATTGAGTGTTTGGGACGTAAACATTTGTTTCATTTTTAAAAAGACATTTCTTGCTTGTTCAATTCGCGATTTTATTTCTATGTCTGGATCTATATCTTTCGTTATCCAGCACCCTAGATATCGAAATTTCTCGACATTTTCGATAATGTTACCATTCACGTTTAAAGCCATGGGTGGATGGATGGATGTTTTGGAGACAATCATTGTTTTTGTTTTCTTGACGTTAATGCTGAGGCCGTATTGTTCTCCGATCGATCTGACGCGATCTAAGAGTGTCTGGAGATCTTGTGCGCTCTCTGCAATTAGGACCGTGTCGTCGGCGTATCGTACATTATTTAGAACTCTGCCGTTAATTTTAACACCTTCTCTTGATTGCTCTAGTACTCGTAAGATTTCTTCCGACTATATATTGAAAAGTAGTGGTGACAATACACACCCCTGTCGTACACCTCGCTTGATATTGAATATTTCTGTGTCACCGGCTTCTGTTCTAACTGCTGCAGTTTGGTTAAAATACAGCGTTTGGATAATTTTAAAATCGTTCTCGTCTAGTCCCTTTTTGTGAAGGCAATCCATCAGCTTATCATTTTTTACTTTGTCGAAGGCCTTTTGATAGTCAATAAAACATAAAAAGAGATCCTTTTTTTGGCCTCGACATTTTTGCAGCAGTATAATAAAACTGGTTAATGCTTCCCGTGTCCCAAATCCATTTCGGAAGCCAAATTGTTCAGAACTATCTATGTTAAGAAAAAAAGGTAAAACTGCTAGTCAAACAAACATTTCCGCGTAAAATGTGCAGTGCACATGAATTAAATATCAAAGTAATTTACTGTCCATAATTTCTTATCAATGCTATATAAAAAGATTATTAAAGGATTTTTTAAACTAATTTACTTTTCTTCGTGCTTCTTATGCAGTACAGTAAAGTATATCATTCGCTGTCGAATGTCAAGGGATAATCCAAAACAGTCGCAAATTCAATAAATATGCTTTAATAACTGTAGTTAAATATTGTTAATAATATGAATCTTGTTTTTTTTTTCAGCATGCAGTAGCCTTTAAGGATCTCATAGAGTCAAAATGTATTTTGGAAATTCTTAGTGGAAACGACAGCGTCATCAGCAAGTGGAATTTGAATGGAAGAAGAGGTAGCATATCAAAAGATTTCCTCCACAACGAATTATTGTCAAAACGTCAGGTGAAATCATAGGATTTAAAAATAGTGTGAGAATGTAGGAGTGTTGCTAAGGAATGATATTAAAGTTTCTTCATATTAAAACTGAACAGAACGTTTAAATTAAGATTTCTGATGTCAACAGAGAATGCTTAGCTACTTGTAATGTATTATTTTTGTTGGATATATTAAGTTGGTATAAATCTTTGTTTTCACTTAGTCATCATCATCATCATCATTGGTACTACAGCTCTATAGCAGAGCCTTGACTTGTTTCTTTTGATTGAGGTTTTACCTGTTTCCATTCTTTTACAATGTTGTTTTGTTCTCCTCTTTTATTTAATATTACTTTTATTTTCTGCTGGTACTCATTCTTCTTTTTAGGATTTTTAAAGATATATGTGTTCCATTTTCTTTGTTTTCTTTGGTTTTCTCTTTTCTTACCATTAATATTCTTTGTTTTATCTTCGATATAACCAAGAAATGGTCCGAATCACAATTTGCGCCTCTATAAGTTCTAACATCCGTTACGGAGGTTGCCCACCGCTTAGATATTAATATGTGATCAATTTGATTAAATTTATTAGTACAAGGTATCATGCAAGTTCCTTTATGAATATTTTTATGAGGGAAACACGTACTAACAACTCTTAGTTTGTTTGATATTGCCAACTGTGGCACTCTTATACCGTTGTTGCTGGTAATATCATCTAAACTATGCGTACCAAAGGATTCTGCATATATTGGCTTATTTCCCAGCTTCGCGTTCATATCACCGAGGACTATAACTGCATCTCTCTTCTGTGGGTTTTCACATTCTACTTGTAGTTGGTCATAGAATTGATCGATTACTAGTTCATCTGGTGCTTCTGTTGGGGCATGGATAAAAATAATTGTAATATTATGATTTTTATAGGATATATTATTCCATTTCTTCTAATATATACTAAAAATCTAATTTTCTGACGGAATTGTTGAGAATCTCTGATTGCATTTTGTTCGTACGGTTGCTACCGTGAACAGCGGTACCGTTGTCAAGAAATATCCTAATTAGTTTGCATGGACGTTTGCATGGAATCGCATGTCTGAAATATGCTATAGGAGGTTTTTTTTTGTATTTTTGTGGTTTCTTTTTTATTTTATTTCGGTAGATGTCCCCAATTTTGTTTATATTTAGTTTCCCTATGTTTACATTGCTATATTGTATATTCTCCAATTCGACATCTGGTCTATCTATTTTCGCTATTACATGGGGTGTGTTAAGTTCTGCTTCATTTTTTACTTTTACTTTTTTTACCGACGTTTCTAGCCCTTGTAAATATGTTACATCTATAATACTTTTTGCTCCTTTTTTCTCGGCTATGAAGATATATCGTAGTTTTTTAAACAACATATTATAATGTTATCTAATTATTTTAATAAATATTTTATCGCTTCATTCTAACAAACATTGTAGATATGGAGATTGGCTGGTGACCGGATAACTGAATTTTGTAGAGGATTTCCCACATATCTCATTAAAAACAATGCAGACCTAACGGAAAACCAGGAAATTATACTTAACGATTTACCCAATTATATAATTAAAAACCGAAGAAAAAGAAGTACAAGCCATTATTTTCAAGGACGAGTGAGGGGTCAAACGCAGTCTCAATATTTAAACTTTGGAAAATCAGATGAACCTGGAAAAGCTGAAGCTGAATCTACTTATGAGGGATCCAAAGCAGTTGTTAGTAAGTATTTTAAACTACTAGTGTTTAGTACCTCGTACATAATTGTTTGGTATATACGTAATTTATTAGTTTAATAATAATCCAGTTACTCAGGCTATTCACTTGCCAATTTTGTCTGGTTGAAAGTGCTAAAATAAAACAGGTTATATAATCCCGATTGTGATTCCACCCAGGGCTGGTTGCCTTCGCTTGTCGGGGCTGGAAATTCTTTTACTCAAAATAATCACGGAAATCGATAGAGGAATAAATTCTAAGCAACTTTTATCCATGGCATCTCTTCTTTTTGTTTGGGACGGACACGGGTTTAAAATCTAAAACACCTAAACTTTTTCGGCATTCACTTATATAATATATTAGACAATTATATAATATCAGGCACTATTTACTTATTAAAATGGATATAATATTAAATAAGAGATGTTTAAAAGATATTCTTTTTACTTTTAGGTGGAAGCAATGGAATGGGTCAGGCTCAAAGTCAAAGCATTCCTTTTGGTTGCGACGAATGTTATGGCCGAGATCAAGATCAAACAATAGAACTACAAAGAATACCGGGAGGAAGAACACCAGAGTCAATTATTAAAAGACCAGGTGGTACTGATACGATAGGAAAACCGGGATGGACTGGCGGCAGTGGGCACGGAGAGCCTGAATTAACTGGACGTCCTGGACAAATTACTGGTCCAGGACAAGTTACCGGTCCAGGGCAAGGAGAAAGGTGGACAGGTCAAACCGGTAGACCAGGTCAAGCACCAGGATCAGGTCCACCAGGAGGTGGTCAATATGGAGTAGGGCCCAACCAACCAAATGTTCCATCACGAGGCACAGGACAAGAGGGATGGCCAGGTCAAGATGGCCAACCAGGAGGTTGGCCTGGACAAAATGGTGGATGGCCTGGACAAACCAGTGAAATTAGACAACCAGGCGGAATACGACAACCAGTTGGAACGGGACAACCAGGTGTAATAGATCAACCAGGTGGATATGGACAACCAAGTGGACCAAGACAACCAGGTGGAATCGGGCAACCAGGGGGATACGGACAACCAGGAGGGACAAGGCAACCAGTTGAAATGGGACAACCGGGTGTAATAGGTCAACCGGGAGAATATGAACAACCAAGTGGAACACGACAACCAGGTGGAATCGGGCAACCAGGAGTATACGGACAACCAGCTGGACCAGGACAACAAGTTGGACCAGGACAACCGGGTGCAATAGGTCAACCAGGAGGATATGGTCAACCAAGTGATATACGACACCCAAGTGGAGTATTGCAACCAGGAGGGTATAGAGAACCAGGCGGACCTGGACAAACAGAAATAGGACCACCAGGTAAAATAGGACAACCAGGTGGAATTCAACAACCAGGAGGAATCGGGCAATCAGGTGGTTACCCAGGAAGACCTGGTGAAATACCACAAACAAATGGAGGGCCCGGACAAAGTGGGGGTATTCCACAGACAGGAAGGTGGCCTGGTCAAAATGGAGGACAAGGACCTAGCCAAATTAGTGGCCCAGGAATAAACGCACCTTCATATCCTGGCGAAATAGGTCAAACCGGCACCACCGGACAAAGGGGTCCTGGTCAAGGTGTAGGAGTGGATCAAAATGGAAGACCGATAGGAGGCTGGCCAGCGAATATAGGTCAAACACCAGGTGGCGTCAGGGACCACGCAGGTCAACAATGGCCAAATCAAGTAGTTGGATCTACACCAGGTGGTTCACAGCCATCCACTCCAGTAGGTACTATTGGGCAAGATCAAGGACCCAGACAAACAGGTGGCTGGCCCGGTTCAATCGATTCACGTAATCCTCAACTTCGTCCAGATCAGTCTGGTAGTTCCGGATATGGAACTGGAGTGTTTGGGGGAAAATTAAGTGGAGACTATGAAGGGCAGCAAGGTAACTACGGTAGATTTTCCGGTCAATTTTCTGGCCAATACGAAACGTATGGACCTCAAGGTCCACCGCGACCAGGTGAACTAGGATACGGTCCAGTTAGACATCCAGAAATTCCAAGTCAAACAGGTGGACCAGGACAAGCAGGAGGCTGGCCTGGGCAAATTGGTACTCAAGTTGGAGGACCTGGTCAAATCAATAGACCAAATCAAATAGGAACTGGGCCTGGACAAGCAAGTGGTCCAGGACAAACAGGTGGTTGGCCTGGGCAAACAGGTGGTTGGCCTGGACAAACAGGTGGTTGGCCTGGACAAATAGGAAGCCCAGGACAAACTGGTGGTTGGCCTGGCCAGGGACTAGGTCCAGAAGTTAATGGAGGTATAAACGGACCAATAAGTGGATGGCCAGGTCAGGTTGGAGGTCCCGGACAAGAAGGAAATTGGCCTAGTCCGGGCATTCCGGGAAGAGTTGATGGAAGACCAAATACGGGATGGCCTGGAAATGTATTGGTCCCAGGACAAGTACCAAGCACTGTACAACCCGGTGGATGGCCTGGTCAAATTGGAGGTAGTTTGCCTGGACCAGGCCAGATAGGAACTACAGGACAAACAGGAGGTTGGTCTCAACCTTCATCTTCGGGGCCCGGTGGAGGCGGAATTCAAACAGGGATTTGGCCTAATCAAGGAGGAAATATTAGTCCTAATGGAGGTACCGGTCCAACTGGCGGTTGGCCTAGTCCAGTAGGGGCCCCAGGACAAAATATTGGTTGGCCCGGTCAAACTGGAACTCAAGTGACTGGTTATCCTGGTCAAACTGGACAAACTAGTACTTGGCCAGGACAAGGAGGTGGAACAAATCAACCTGGGTGGCCAAGTCAACCAAGTGGAACTAGTCAATTAGGTGGTTGGCCTGGACAAGTAGGAGGCCAAGTGGGTGGTCAAGGTGGGGGCACTGGAACACCAGGTTTAGCACCTGGAGGAGCCGGTCAAGTTGGTGGATGGCCTGGTCAAGTAGGAGCTCCAGGACAAACTGGTGGTTGGCCTGGTCAGGTAGGAGCACCAAGTCAAGTTGGAGCTCCAGGACAACCTGGTGGTTGGCCTGGTCAGGTAGGAGGACCAAATCAAGTTGGAGCTCCAGGACAAACCGGAGTGTGGCCCGGTCAAGTTGGAGTACCAGGTCAAACCGGAAATTGGCCTAGTCAAGGTGGTCCTGGTTCATTTGTAACAGTACCTGGTCAAACGGGAGAAGGAAATGGACAGATACCTGGACTAATTGGTGGACCCGGCCAAGTAGTTGGTGGTCAAATTTCAGCGGTAGAATTAGATGATTCTGATTCACAAGTACAAACTTCTCTCCAACACACAGAAAATGGAACAACGGCTGAAGCTCAAGCACAAGGAGTTTTTGGCGGAGGTACTGCGCAGTCTCAAGTTTCTGGAACTTATTCCGGATCTGGTTCTTTTAGTGCGTCTGCTGGATCGGATGATGGTAAAAGAGGTGCCCAAACTCAGGTATCTGGTGCAAAAGAGGGAGCTCAAAGTTCTGCTCAGGGAAGAGGCGGTGCAGGTCAATCACAGTCACAAGTTGTTTTCTCGCATGAAACTGGCCAAACCAGTTCGAGTGCACAAAGTGGTGGCCTTACCCACGGTACACAATCGCAAGTTCAAGCATCAGAAAAAGGAGGCCTAGCTGACGCACAATCGAATGGTCCTGGAAGTACATCATCTCAAGCTCAAATCGGTTTTTTACCGTATGACGAAAATGACGCTGATAACGGCACGGAATCATTTATGGGAGGAGGTACAGCTGGGGCGCAAAGTGGCACTCATTCCGGTATGTCACAATCCCAAGTTCAGGGAAGATTTAAATACGGAGTAAAATATACAGGAGCTGCACAAGCTGCTTCCGGAGGAACTGGATTTGGTAAAAATTTTACTAAAACTGGCCCCTTTAATCCAACAGAGATTAATTTTAATGTTGCAAGGGAGAAACTGTCACAGAAACAAGCTCAACATGCAACAAAAGTATCAAAAACTAACTCTAAAGATGTGCCAATCTCTGCTGAAGTCAGTCCATCCACTACGATAAAAGCACCAATAAACGCAAAAAAATTAAATTCAAACCAACCAAATAAAAAAGATTATGACGACGAGTATTATGATGACTATGAAGATGAAACTGAAAAACCGAAAACCAGAAGCATTATTACACAATCTGATCACAATCAAAGACAACACATTATTTTAGATCCATTAGAAGATCTAGATCTAACTGTACATCAAAGTAAAGGTGAACTGCTTAGTGAAGGTACCGTTATCCAACCAGGTGAGACGGTTCCAGGTATTCCAGGTTATAAAATACCTCTTGGATTTAGGGGAACAGTAAAATCTATAGCAAATGGGCCAAATACTTATGCTATTGGTAAAAATTCTCATGCTCAAAGCGTTACTCTTTCTCCTGGTACCGGAAAAATTATTTACAAAAAGCCGTTTTATGCAGTTACATCAAATACTCATTCAACAAATGGTCAATATGGTTATGGATCTGGATATACATATCAACCTGCTTATTCACCTGTCAAGTACCAATTAAAAAGTGGCAAAATATTACCAAATTTTATATCCATGTCTAAATCCGAGACAGGATCAAGAAATCTATATACTGGAAAGAAAACACCAAGCGTGTATTATACACAATCGTCTACATGTGGTATTTTTACCAATCAATGTATATTTAATGCCGGTAGAAAACTTTGTTTTCCTAAAGCAAAAACAAATCCCGATGGTACCATAATGGGGTGCTGAATGTATTTATATATAGATTAAGTTATTATAATAAAAAAACTGTAAATATATAATTATAAATCTTTAGCCTAGTTTTAATAATAAATAAATGTTATCCTGTTTTTAAAAGAACTCTTTAAATAAACATTCACACGGTAAATTAATTTCTGTAATTACTGAAGATGCTAATTTCGAGTATAAGTGAAACTATGATAAGTTTTAAAAAATAATAATCTTCTTCTTCTTCTTCCTACTTTATAAATAGGCTTAATGCCTGTTTTACTTCGGTTTTTAGCCTCAATTGACGTTGTCTCGCCATCTTTTCCTCGGTCGTCCCAATGATCTTCTTCCATTTGGCGATTTGTCTTTTGCTATTCGTACTATTCTATTTTCTGTTATTCTTTCGATGTGTTGATTCCATTCCACTGTTCTTCGTTTGGTCCACGGGTTTGTTTCCTCTATATTACATCTCGCTCGTATTTCCTCACTTCTTACTCTGTCTCTTAGAATTTGGTTGTTATTTTTCGTAAGACTTTCATTTCTGTTGTTTCCAGCAGTCTTTGTGTTTTCGCCGTATCTGCTCTTGTTTCCGCTGTGTACGTTATTATCGGTCTTATTGTTGATTTATATATCCTGGTTTTCGTTTCCGTTGTGAGGTATTTGTTTCTCCAGATTGTGTTGTTGAGACATCCTGCTGCTCTGTTTGCCATGTTCGCTTGATTTTGTACTTCTTCTTCCACTTTTCCGTAGCTTGACAATTTTATTCACAAGTATTCAGTTTCCATCACTTGTTTTATTATTTTATTCTTTACGACTAGTTTACATCGTCTCGGTTCCGCTGATATCACTATCGCTTTAGTTTTCTCTGTTGAGATCACCATGTTGTATATGAGCGCCGTATCTTCGAATTCTTTAATTAATCTTTGTAGGTCATCTTCATATTCGGCTGTTATTATGGCGTTGTCAGCGTAGCATATTATCCTTATTTCCTTTTCTCCCATTCTATATCCTCTTCTTTTTTTAACTTTCTTTATGATTTCATCCATTAGCAGATTAAATATTAATGGGCTCAGCGAATCTGCTTGTCTAATGCCAGTTTTATATTTGACAGGTTGCGATAGTTTTCCTTTACATCTTACCATAGCTATGTTATCTTTATGTATATTCTCAATGGTTTTTACTAAATCCAGTGATATTCCCTTTTCGTATAATAAATGTATCGCGTCTCGAATTCTCACTCTATCAAACGCTTTCTTCAAATCTATCAGACACATATATGCTGGTTTGTTGTATTCCAGCGACTTTTATTTTATTTGTCTTATTACAAAAACTGCATCCGTACATGATCTTCCTGTACAAAATCCTTGCTGTTTCTCTTGCACAGATATGCGTTCGTTTATTGTTGTCGCTATTATTCTTGTTGTCAATTTGAGTGTTGTATTTAATAGATTTATTTCTCGATAATTATTGGGGTCTTTCTTATCTCCTTTTTTGAAGAACATCACGATGATCGCTCTCCTCTATTCATCTGGTATTCTATTCGTGGTGATTATTTCATTAATAATCAGTTGCAGTTGTTGTACAAGGTGATCACCTCCATATTTTAAGAGTTCATTTGGTATTTGATCTTCTCCTGGTGACTTTCTGTTTTTTAAAATGTTTATTCGTTCTTTCACATCGTTTTGGGAGATTTCGGTCTTTTCTTATTTATTATATTTGGCGTTTCTGGTAATAAAAGTTCTTCGTTTTGTTTTGTAAACGTTTCTGCCATGAAGGCCACCCATGTATCCTCTTGTATGTATTCTTTTTCAACTAGTTCTTTCATTTCGCTTCTTTGTTGTCTTATGAAGCGTCATACTTGTTTCTGTTGTCCATAGAAATCCATCTCTAGTCCTTTTGTGAATCTTTCCCAGTAATCTGTTTTTGTTTTTCGTACCAATTAATGCTCCCGGTCTTGCGGAAATATTTCCGCAAGACCGGGAGCCCATTCTGTCTCCGGTTTCTATATAACAGGTAGCTTCTCCTTTTTAAAAATTTTAAAGTGTTTGTTTGTCTTTGTGTATTGTATTGTTATGTCCAAATTTAGATTTATGACATTCTACTCATGTCGGATAGGCCACAACTGACGAAATGCCCCTGAAGATGATCTATTGATCGAAAGTGCTTGGGCAAGATTTAATTAATCACTGTGTTCGATAGTTGCCTTGTATACTATCAAAGTTTAAAAATAAAATATGCAGTCTTATTTTACTTTTTATTTTAATACGAAAAAAACACTAACTTTATACAGATTTTTTTTATTTAACTAGATTTCAACGAAAATCATTCCATACTAAATAATTTTGTTATGAAGCTTTAACTTTAAACCTCTGCAGCTCGAATATACAGGGTGTTTTAAAAAAGGTAACCCCGTCTCTAGGTAGGTAAAAAACTAAAAAATAATTGGGGTTTGCTTAGTAAAAAATTTTTGTAACGCCATCCGTTTTCAAGATACAGGGCGTTGAAGAAAAAAAAATACGCATTTTTTGCGATTTTGCCGAAAATACTTGCAACATTGTAATGAAATTTTATAGGAATATATTTTGGAACTTGATACATCCCATGAATTTGTTTTTATATCTGATTCTCACAGAGGGCGCTAGTTACACGGATCGTACTAAATATTAGTCAATATAACTTTTAAGAGTATAATTATTAATCAAAATTTCAAGTAAACTTAAACATCATTCTATTTTACACGAAAAAGGTACTCTTGGTAAAACTCGATACTGTGTACCGTTTTCGGAATATTTTGATTTGAAAATTCTGAAGTAATAATTGATGCTGGTAGTAATGATAAAGTTCTAATAGGTATACCTCTATTTTCTCCAAGTGTGGTATGGAAATCTGACATTTATTGATTGTTATGACGATAAATCAACAATAATTAGAGTTTTAAAACCTTGTTATTTGTAAAATCAAATCAAAATGTACTCAAATGTTGAATACACTGACATGTTATTAACCTTGGACGAATGTTTAGGATGTTCTAGTGCAGCTGTGACACGTTATGCAGAAAAGTTTCCTAGAAAAAACATATCAAGTAAAAAAACATTTAGATAAAGAGGAATTGGTTCATATCTATTCTGAACCCTCTATTTAGATTACACATTTTCTAAAGTAGTTGATTGAATGTCAAAATTAACACGCATTAATTAAAAACATGTTTTAATGAATTCTTACTCTACTCTCATTCCTATTATGAAAAATTGTAACTGATGGCACTCTCGCTTAGGATGGTAAAGCTGGGTCCATAAATACGTAAAAATATGCCTCTTTATTTTATCAGACGTCATTTTTATTAGACATTTACTTACAATGTTTTTATCACAGGAAGTTATTAATCAGATTAAAATAATAATTTAACTTAATCTTAAAATATGTAAACTTAAAATTCTATCTGATATGATCAAACTATAAAAAGCAGAACAAAAAGATGATGAGTATTCTAGATCGACCACGATTTATAACAAATAACAAAATGATGTTGAAAATTGCGCTCCTTTTAAGCTGCGTAGCTTTATCCATCAGCTCTCGTAAGTACAATCAAATGTTATTAAAAGACTTTAACGGTAGTGTATTTGTATTCATTATATCTATTATGTATCCATTCATCTCAAATTATTTGGAATCGAATGTGACTTGCAAAATACTGAATTATTTCATACGTTCTCTATACCTACATACGAACTTGATTAAAATAATAGTTGTCTTTTAGATCGACTTCCCAACGATATTTTAATCACATTAAATAACTTTTGCCCATAGACTCATGGACAAAAATTTGGAATTTTTTGTTATTATTAACAATAACTTAAAAATAATTACGAAATATCTTCATATACTTATATATATATACCAAATTTCATGTCAATCCAAGCGGTTCTTTAATATTAATATTAATATTAATATTAAATTTAATATTTAATTTAATATTTAAAAAATTTCAAAGCTTTATTTTAATAAAATTATTTCCTTGAAAATTGGTGAAATAAAATATTCTCATAACTTCCATTTATTCCATTTCATGTATTTGTCCACAAACGTATATTTTATTTTTAAATCATGTTTCAACAATGCTATATTTACTATTCTACGATTTTTTGTTCATAGTTTTTATAAAAATATTGTATACATCTAAAGTATTGTTACGTATTACTTCATTGTGTAGTTTTCGAAAAATCTATAATAATGTAAGACGAAAATAATTTTCAGTTTCGCAAGTTGTTATATTTTATGTAACATTTTAATAATATTTTGCAGCTGTTGGAACGTGCCCAAGTACTTCCTCCGGCACTCCTGTATATCTTCCGGATTCAGTGGATTGTGCAGTGTTCTATGAATGTTCTAACGGATATGCAGTTAAATTGATTTGTGCCCCTGGAACATACTTTAATGAAAAAATTGATCGTTGTGTAGCTCCTAAACTTGTAGATTGTGGAACCAGATCAACCTCAACAGTAGTACCAACAGAAGCATCTTAAAAATCATCTGCATTCAATTATAATAGTTATTGATAGTTTATTAACAGCATGAAAAATATGTACATCTTATAAAACTTATAAACTAATGATAATTAAATGATATTTAATTTATTTAATTATAATTTATTTTTTTGGACGACAAAAACGAATACTACAGTCAACAACGAATTTTAAAGGAATGGTTATAAGACATAAAAACCACACATGGGAATAAAAATGCGAGGAAGTGGAACCATGTCTAGGTGTAATCAATTCTTCTATTAACCATCAGCAATAATCTGTTTAAAAGTCACTAAGCAAAAAAACTACAAAAGTCCAGACCTTAATATCTCCAACAAACACCCAGAATATACCAAATCCATGGACCAGAACTAATGAACCAGAAGGAATCCCTGCTGAACTTTAAAAAAATACAACACCAATGCTGGTTAATATACTGACTGAACTTTTAAATAAATACCTAAACGAAGATAAAAAAACTGGAAAGCTGGAAAGAAGAATGAATTGCATCAATCAAAAGAAAGGCAGACTGCAAAAACTACTGCTACATCTCAGTT